AACATATTGCCCAGGGAGTCTTTCAGTATTGCATTTTGAGGCTTAAATTTTTTCCTCAGTTCTTTCAGCCTGAGAAATGTGGAACGTGTTCTTCCCTTTTGGTTTTCTAACTGCAGGACTTCGCACATTTCCTTATAACTAACTGTCTTCTCAAGCTGCTCTTTGAAATCTTCTGTTCAGCTCTTTTATCCTGTTGATTCTTCCGTTTCCTTTAGTTACTCTCAGTTCAAGAACAAGTTTCGGATACTCTTCTCACATCCATTTTGGTCTTTTTTTCCTTTCCTGTCTTTTTAATGACCTTTTGCTTTCTTCATGGATGACAATCCTGATGTCATCCCATAATTCCTCTGGTTTTCGGTCACTGGTTTTCGGTCACTGGTGTTCAATGTATCAAATCTATTTAGATGGTCTCTAAATTCAGGAGGAATATACTCAAGGTCATATTTTGGCTCTCGTGGGCTTGTTTTAATTGTCTTCAGCTTCAACTTGAACTTGCATATGAGCAGTTGATGGTCCCTTCCAGTCAGCTCCTGGCCTTGTCATTGCCTCTTGCCACAGATGTAGTCAGTGTCATTCCTGTGTACCCCATTTAGTGAAGTCCATGTGTATAGCTGCCGTGTGTGTTATTGACAAAAGGTTTTTGCAACGAATAAGTCATTGGTCTTGCAAAATTCTATCATGCAAACTCCAGCCAGCATCACTTCTATCACCAAAGCCCTATGTTATAACTGGAATGTGTGTGGTGTGTGTGTATGTGTGTCATTTTCCCTAAAACCATTAACCAGAAACTTAAAGCTAGCCTAGATAAAACCATTAACCAGAATGTTAAAGCTAGCCTAGATAATAATCTGAGACCTAAACATCAAGAAAATAAGCATCAGTAATTTCATGAGCTAGAAATGTTTATTTTAAGTAATAAAAATTAGTTTTATACCATACATATTTACAAAAATGCCTCACTATAGAAAAATAGAATAATTTAATAGGGACTGTCAGTGTTAGAGAACTTCCCCAGATGCTCTGCTCCCTCCCTGGTGAGCAGGGCTGAGCTGTTGCTCTGGGCTAGCACAGTGCATCAGTCTAAGCCCTCAAGCTGTGCCGGCCCCCTCCTCGGTCTCCAGGAAACACAGGCAGAAGTGGTCCTTACTGAGGAGGGCTAGGGAGTCCCCACTCAGATGCCAGCACAGGGAGAGCACATGGAAGTCACCTGCAGAAACACAGGGTCAGGTGGGGCCACCAAGGTCTGGTGATGAGCAAATGCATCTAGGGGAACCTGTTACCCAGGTTAGGCCAGGTGAATCCAAAGCTTCCTCAACCTGTGGCCAGGCTCCTTTCCTACCATGATCCTTCTCAAAATGCTTACAAAGCTCAGGGCGAAGGGCCAACCTAGTCAGGTGGGCACATTAGGGGTGGGCCTGGAGGTTTAACAGAGATACTAAGAGGAACTTCAGTTAACACCCAAGGGTAGTAATGAATTTACATGGCTTTGCCCTGTCTGATGCTACGCTACATTGCGTTTGGCAGTACACGTGCCAGCTAGGGCCAACTCACCTTCCACGGGCACCTGCACCGACACACAGCCTGCTGGTGACCACAGGTAGACACGGCTGCCTCCTGTGCAGAGGGCGAGGCGGGCCTGCTGTGGGTCCCACTGGAAGGTGCGCACCGGAACCAGCTGCTCTAGCACCACAAACAGCCTGAGTTTCTGAACATCCCAGATCCACACAGCGTTCGGAATGTTGTCTGACAAAGAAGCAGTGTTAGGGCCCAGTGTCTGCCACCACCTGTCCCTGACAGAGCTCCCACCCCTGCTCTCCTTGCTTTTTGCACCTTAAATGGGAGCTAAGGAAGCAAGCCATGCCAGTGTGTTAATTCTCCTCTAGCTGCTGCCACCAGAGTCAAGATTTTGACCATCACTCCTGTCCTTCAGCACACATTCCCTGCGAAGGACCAGGCTTCAGGCTCTGGCGGCCACACACGTTCTCCTTTGTTGTTTTTCACAACTCTGAAAATGTAAAAACCATTCCCAACTTCTACAGAGAAGAAAATAGCCTGAGCTCTTGTTCTTAATAAACAGAAAGAAGTAAGCAAAGCAGAAGGCTTGTGAGCTACAATGCTAACCTGCTACTGCTTAGACGAAGATACAGCCCAGCTCCTTAGAGAAAAGCTACTGCCGGCAAATGTCTGTGTTTCGGCAGAAAATGAGGCCAAGTGATGTGTGGGAAGCCCTGAGCTTCTGCTTCCTGGTTCCTTGGAGATCTCTACGTCTCCATATCTTACCTCATCTCTCCTCTGATAAGACTGTTTTAATCCCTCTTGTAACTCAAGAGACTGATTCAAACAGCCTACACTGATCCAGCCTTACTAACATAACAAATGTTCCCAAAAGA